CTTCCCGCAGGACAGCAGCTCGGCCACCGCCCACTCACTGCGCGCAGGACAGGGCCTCCTCTCCCCACCCCGTTACCGTTACCAAGCCCCCCCCCCCCCCCCCCCCGGTCTGCGGGGCGTGTCCGGGGCCCGGGCTCCGTGGGCGGGGCGCCACCAACCCGCGATCCCGCCCGCCCGGCCACGGCGGCCATGCAAGGCCCGCTCCCTGCCGTGGTCGCTGCTGAAGCCCTTCGGGTCCAGTTCAGACAGGAGGCCGCAGCGACAGGCCGGGCTGGCTGCTTTCGCTGGAGAGGGCCCGGTGTGTGCGCTCGGGGGCAAAGGCTGCAGAGGTGGTCCTGGGGGTGGGAGCCCCAGGGACGGTGGAGCCAGGCTCCCGCTCGGCAGGTCTCCGCGGCCTCCCCGTGGGGACCGGCATGAGGATGGAGGTTCACGTTCCAGGCCCGGGGAGCAGGGTCCTTGGCCCGCCCCTCCCCCCCAATCTGGGCGGCCGAGCGGCCGAGACCCCCCCGGAGGCTCTGGCTGGGCCTCTTCCTTACTACGTGACCCTGAGAGTAATATGTCTGGGAAGGCAGCTTCCCTTCGCCCGCACTCCCCGACCTGGGCGCGCACGGAGCAGGCTCGGCCCGTTTCCAATCAGAGCCTATCAGTCCCAAGTGGCCCGCCAGTTACCAAGGTGGAGCTTTAAAAAAGATGAAAACCTTTAAAACGGCGAGTTCGTCTTACTTCTATGTCTCCGTATTGGCTGTGGACTCCTGGGGCCTCGGCAGCCCCGGCCACAGCCTCCCAGGAGCGCGGCAGCTGGGAAAGCGGTCCCTCCGCGGCCTCCGGGCGGTGGTAACGGTGCGGCCACCGCGCACAGGCCCCGGGCTGCCGGCCACTCCTCCGCCCTGCGGACACCTGGCACACGGTGCCCGTCAGCAGACTCGGGTTCGACTACATCTCGGCCCCCTGGTTTCTAAAGGCGGGAGGGTGTGGCTTTAACGTTCTACAACACGGGGCCGCACCAAACCGCCGGGCCAGCCGGGCCCACAGCCCACGCGGAGGTGCCAGTTGTCTGCCGTGGGCGCTGGGTGGGTGTGTGTGTGCCCGCCCCGTCCGGCTCCCCCTCACACCATCCAGAGGGAGGGAAAAGGCATCTTCACAGAAAGCAGCCTTCTTGTATTTTATTACAATTTAAAATCACGTCTGGATTCTTCTACCAATATGATCAGCGGCACAAGCATGCGTCGAGTACACGCAGCTGCGCCGAGCGGGCCCTTCCAGGAGTCGCAGCTGGGCAGCCCCGAGGCCCGGGAACTGCAGAGGCTGCCGCCACCCCATTGGCCAGTCAGGTGGAGGCGGCGCCAGCGCCCTCATGCTGGCCCCGCCCAGCCCCTCGCCACCACGTGACAGCAAGGCTGAGGCTTCCCTAGCTCTAAGCTGCCCTGTGTGTGCAGTGTGGGAAGGCTGGTTTCACCCTTTTTACTTACAACTTGCAACATGGGTGGGAAAGAGGGGCTCTGCGAGGGCGGGGCCTCTGCACTCTGCCTGTCGGACTGCCAATGTCAGGCTGCCTTTTAAACACAGAATTAAATTCAGGAACAAACAGGAATCCAAAACCATTAATCCATCACATTTTATTCAATACATTTTAGATTCTTATCCCATACTTTTACCAAAAGGCACTAAAATTTTGGCAAGTATGTAAATAACGGAACTATCAACCAAAATAATTCTGCAGCATCTTTCTGAATCGACCAGAGAAGCCCATGCAGCGCCAGCCGCAGGTGAGGGGACCCCGCAGTGTCTGCAGGTCTTCCGCGGCCTCAGGTTCTTCGGTGGCTCATGAGAACTGCCTTCGGCTCTGACCCTTGCGGGTTCAGTGTGTCGAGGCGGCACATTCGGGATGGGGACGAGGTGACCCTGAGGACAGGCCTTTCACGTGTGCCCTGCTGCGGGCAGCCGCGGGAAAGAGCTCCAGACGTGGACGCCGATGTTGCTCATGGCCCAGCAGCCCTGTCACCTTCCTCTCCTGTCCGGGGTCAATGTCATCCTGGTCCCACCAGGGTTATAGGAGCTTATGAGAAAGCATCTCACTGTGATCTTTTCCTGCAAAGAAACAGCAATAAAATCACTGCCCGCTCACAGAGAATTCCTGGACCTTCGGGTGCCTCCCGCTCTGGAGATGGCGGAGGGCAGGGCAGGCGGGGACCTGCCCCCTCTCACAGCCCGGAGAATGGATGGGTCTGCAGCTCACACAGCTGTGGAAGCTGATGCTGATAGCAGAGCCCGTGTCAGAGCCACACACACACCAACTGCTTCCAGCCTCCACACCGTGACCGAGGTGGGCCTGTGTCACCCCGCACTGGCCCTCGGAGCTGCACGGGCCTGCCCACATGCACACCACGGGACACATACAGATGGCGCCCGCTGCACGGGTCTGCGGCCAGCGCTGCGGCCGGTCTTCGCCGAGTGGAGTCGCAGCCTCTGGGCACTTAGGAGCAGGAAGGCTTTTTGCTCGAGGGCTCGACTCCTGTTCCTGCTGAACTGAGCCAGTGTGTAAATGAGAACTGATATCAGCTCAGTAGGCACCGGAGGGCGGGTCCAATCCACAGCCGCAGCAGCAGTGCCTCAGCCGAGCTGCCGACGTCCTGGGCTGCAGGAGACAGAGGCCTGTGCTGCAAACACAAGAGAGAGTCACGTGCTCCCGAGAAGCACAGGGTCTCCCCGCGCACCCAGCCCCACGCACATGCAATGAACCACGACAGTTTTTCTCGGCTACTGTGATGCATTTGGTTTCTGTGTTTTATATAAACAACTTCTACAGAGAGAAATACATGTGACCTTTCAGAGAGCTATCGAGTCAGAGTCCTCGTTCTGTAGCCTGCTGGTTCATTCCTCGCTTTGGTGACAAGAGAAAGTGCATCGTTGGGCTGAGCAGGTCTCTCCTCCAGAATCGGGCTCGCACCCGAGCTGACCGCTCAGCAGCAGCCTCTGCCCCAGCGGCTCCAACTTACTGTCCCATCTCACCTTCTCTTCAGGTGCAGAACTTAGCCACTGTGAACAAAGCGGAAACCAGTCACTGTTCACCAATCAGCTAAGCTCTGCACCTCGGCAGAGAGGTCTCCAGCTGGGCACACTGGAAAGGCGGGAGCGTCTTCGTGGCTGCTGGCTTCTTCTGTTTCCGGGGAAGAGCTACCAAGTGCATCGTTCTCCTGCAGAGAGCGAGCGACTCTGGCTCTGGAGAGCAGCCAAGGTCGTGGTTGCGTGGTAATCCCTGGCAATGTGATTTTAATCTTAAGTCACAAATCAGCATGCCAGGAACCCAAGCAGCCAGAGCACTCTGGAGCCGCCGTGCCTGCGTGCCGAGCCCACACCGCACACGCCAGGTCCTTGGTCACGAGGCGACATCACCTCCAGGCCGGCCTCACTACCGCACGGTTTTATTTTTGTCTTTCATTTCCGTGCTGTCCTAGAGGAGTTTTTTTTTTAAACCAAAGGACTCAGAGATGCCCATACAAACGCCAGTGCAGTTTTGGAACATAACCGAGGCAGGTTTGGTAGAGGCGGCCATCCCTCCTGTGACCCTGGGCTCAGGAAGGTCTGCAAGGTCCCCAGCTGCTGGCAGGAGCAAGTCCCTGGTCCCAACTGCGGGGCGGGCAGAGGGGACACATGTGACCCCGTTCATCTGGAAGGGGAGGGACAGGAAGGGCCAGTGCAGAGGGGAGGGGAGAAAACAGACTCCTCGCCAGGCCCACTCCTTTGCCTGCTTGGGGCAAAAACTGCACCAAGAGTCGTGAGAGCTGCGTGCCCACTGTGGTTCCCACGCTGAGACGGGACGGACATGGGAGTCTGCCCAGGGCAGTTTCACACACTTCAAGACACACAAACTCCCCGAGCAACTGAACATGGAAGAGAAATGATTTACACTGCTCGCTGTCGGAGGCTGGCAATAAGGTAACTGCAACTGCTCTGTTTTGTTAACTGGCCCACCCGTGACCAGGGCTGGAAGCCGCCTGGGAATGCTGTTGGGACTCTGCACACAGCGTCTCACTACCCACAACTCCTCCATCTCCTTCCCCAGCACACAAGCGCCTCGCTCCCCTGGGCCACGTTTCAGAAAGCCGTTCCTCCTCACATTCCACTGCTTTCCAGTAAGTAAAGCTCGTAAACATACTGGGCAAAAGCGGTTTTCCAAGACAAAGCAAACTAAATGTCCAACAATGGGTTAGGAAGACCAACATAAAATATTAAATACCCACTAAAATTATATAGAGAGAAGCTATAGAACATGAAAAATGATTGACATCTATTGTCATGTTTTTAAAAGGATACAAAATTAGACATGCCCTATGTACAGCATGTAACACCTGGAAGAAAAACTGAGACCTAGGAATGATGGTTGATGGAGCGAAACAACACACTTATAACCCACAGTTCTACTTGAAGACGTTACCGGCCGTTGCACAATTACTGTTCAGATGCAGAACCCTCCACGGGAAGCCTAATGCTAGGAGGTAAATCTTAACAGGAACCAATTCAGAGTTCAGGACTCCCTGCGAGTCTGCCCAGCTCAGCGAGACGCCTGCAGCCGCAGCTCCGAGGCCGGAGGCAGGCTCTGGCGGGAGGGCCTCCGCCCGGCTCCCGGCTCAGCAGGGCCAACCTGAGCAGCACCAAGCTCTCACACAGCCAGGAGCGGGCCGCTGGCCACGCACTCCTGCCCACCCTTCTCTCGTGCTGGGCTTCCCAGGCCGCCCCCTAACCATCTCCAAAACGTGCTCCCCCAACTTCTGTCACTACAGGTGATAAAGCCAAGTGGCCAGAACCGTGCCAAGGAGAGCTGTCCTACTGGGCGCACAGCTCTGCTCCCGGCGACCCCTCCCAGGGCGCTGCTGCAGGCACCGTGCGGGGCGGAGGACTGATGCTGTGGGTGCTCTAGGCTCACTGTTTGGTCTATCGGGCTCCCAGAAGTAGTCTGGTTAGAAACAAACAACGGGGAGAGGAAGGGGAGAGTTACCTCTTTAAAACAACATCTCGGCCACCACCTGGGCTGAGCACCTGTCCATCTGCTCCTTGGTCAGCTGGAAGCAGCGGCGGGCGAGCTGCTGCTGCCTGGCGTCCTCGCTCACCATCAGCTCCCCGTAGAGGTAGATGCCCATCGCCTGCAGGGGCAGAGCCGGAGAGGAGGAGACAAAGACATCTGTGTCCAGTCCGAGTTGTTCCACACAAATTACAAAAGACCCCAGAAAAGCTCAGACAGTGGAATAGTTGTACTTGAGGAACCGTAGTCTTCAACCCCTTCTTTCTGGCTTCCACTGAAACTCTAAGGAATTCTCAGCTCTCAGTTCCCCCAACAGAACCGTGGGGACTTAACTGATGACAAAGTGGTGACCGTGCAGGAATGCTCTGGAGGAGAGGGGTCTCAGCGCAGCTCCTGGCAGCACCGAGGTGCTGTGTGCGTGTCCCGAGCCATCGGCTCCTTCCCAGGACAGGTGGCCCTCGGCGCTCTGGGCCGCGCAGACCACCGCGCCACACGCAGCCATCGCAGACCACCACCACGCGCCTGGCAATGCCTGCTGCTCCAGCCCCGGCCGCGGTCCCTCCCTGTGGCCTACGCCGGCTCTGCTGCTCCAGACACAATGCTGCGAAGACCTCCGTCTGCATTTTCCCTCGTTTTAAAAAAGCCAATTATGCTCTGAAGACCCGAGAGCCCTCAGTGCTGCCTCCTCTGCTCGCTTAGCTGTGCCGTGGGTCTCTGCTGGGCAAATGAACAGGGGACCTCAGCAACAGCGCCAGACAAAGCCTTGTCTAGTCAGAGGCTCACAGATTCTTCCCGTGAAGGCTGAGCTACGACAATCTGTATTTAGAAAAGTTCATGATTCTAGTACATTGTAGTTAACTCTGGTTTTCAAAGGGACCTAATTTTCTCTTGCATTTTGTCTTCCTTATACTCTACTCTGTGTTTCTAAACACCTCCTGCTCCACTGTGCAAATGTGACATTTCTTCTGGTACAAAGTCGTGCATTTTTCTTTGTGGGAATAACAAGCCCTTCCGTGCCGGCAGCCCCCCTACTCTGGCCCTCTCAAAAGCCCCTTTGTCTGCCCTGCCCCCGCTCTCCGCCCGACTGGAACACGCTCCATGCCATCAGCCCCCAGCTGGGCAGAAAGCTCGTTCACAGGCACACACTGGTCAAGCCCACAGGCCGAGCTGCGGGCTGATTTCCAGCCGCACAGACCCCTTGGCACATGTCCCGCCACGGACAGCCAGGCCAGGACAAGTGTGGATGGGCACAGAGGTGGCACGGAGGACATCCCCAAACACGGTCACCCACGCACACTTCCTGCGGGCTCCCGGGAGGATGAGCACTTTCCTCTGGTGGCAGGAAAGACACTCAGCACAGGCCAGTCTGGCGTCACAGGTGCAGACAAACAGAACGCTCCCACGGCCGGGCTGTCAGGACCAGCATTACCGAGCCACCTGGACCCAAGGTCTGCGATGCCACAAAGTCAGCACAGGCCTTGCTTGGTAGCGGCCACGGCCACCCCAGGTGAAACCAACGGTGCCTCCGAGCACCAGGGCTCGGTGCGTTTAAGGGACACTGAGCTCCTGCCAACCCTCAGACTCTTGGAAAATGTTTAAGTATTTGTTATCCTTGGGTCCCGGACAGCCAGGCAGCAGCACGGCAGAGCCCGAACTGCAAGGAACGACCTACCTGGTCCTCCTGCAGGAACTCCTCCACGGTTTTGTACGCTCTCGTGTACTTGTGCTTCACAATGAGCTCACACCACCGATGGCGGACCTTGAACGAGAGAAAGCCCGGTAAGCAACACCCTGGCAGGTTCTCCTTTCCGCGGGAGTTTAAGACGCGGAGCCTCCTGTGTCCGAGTCCCCGCTGATCCTCGGGGGGATGTGCCAGGACCCGGTGATGCACATGCTATGCCTTTTCCTATACACACACCCCTATGCCCAAGTCAACGCCTTTCCACCTCAGCTAATCGCTCGGCACACTGTGGCTCTAACTTCTGCAGTACAAAAGCAAAACTAGCCCCAATTTCTTTTTCCTTCTTCATAATTTCAAAAATAAAGGACTGGTTCCGACCACAGATCTCAGCAACCTCAGGTATGATTTCTTCCTTTCCTTACTGAGGGCGTCCACTGTTTTACACTGAGGACGCTTCACACGGCCCCTCCCTGGCAGACGCGCACTGTCGCACGGCTCTGAGCTCTGGCGGGGACACCGCGCTGGGAGGTGCCGTGACAGCGGCCTGACTGCAGAGGCCGCCAATGACCCGTGTGCGGGAACGCTCCTGTCCGGCCTGCAGAGACCGGACAAAGGAATGAGTCACGTCCTGCGGGGGAGGGAGGAAAAGAGCGAGGGCTCAAGATTTCATCCTACTAAGAATGGCATGCAACTTCAATCTCATGAACTATTTATTTCTGTAACTTTCCTTTTAATATTTTCAGACTGCAGTCGACTGTGAAACCAGGTAACAGGGGTGCTGTACTCTCGGAGTGTGTGAACGTTGTTGGCATTTTCAGCTTAACTTCCACTTCCGTTTCATTTCACCTGGTCCTCAGAGCAGCACTGAATCCGCTCCAGTGCATGTCCAGTGATGTTGTGATGTTTTTAACCATTTTGCAAGGAAACAAAAAATGTAGCTAAAAAACAAAAGGCACATCCCCGGCCAGGCGACAGGCTGGCCACGAAGGTTTTCTTTGAAACCACTTCTTAACTTCCTGTGATAACCAATACGTTTCAAAGCTGCTGATGGTTACAATGAAGGGAAGAGTCACTCTCCACATTCCTGAGAAGAGGCAGATTGGCCTCCTGGGAGTTTCGTTTGGGATTTTGGGGGGGGGGGGGGCATGGAAGAGGGACCCCAGCCTGCAGCCTCTGCGGACAGGTCAGCGGCAGAGCCCTGGCATTTCCCGGCCCTGAGGCACGTCCTTCACTTGCAGATCCCACTGAACCCGGTTTTCAGAGTCCAGTTTCAGGCCAATCCTATGCATCCCAGGTTATGCTCAGTCAGCACCGCCATGGTGGTCCGCAGTGTGATCCACACTGGCCACACCTGGAAGGGGCTGTGTGCACGCAGAAAGCCTCCTTCCATCCTGTTTCCCTGGCCTTTAAAGGAGCCCTTGTGTGGCAAAGATAAAATATAAGACATTTCATCATTACCCACCACCTGGCCAGCCCTCTCCTTCCATCTCCTGTAAGTAGATTTACACGCCAACAGTTAGGAATGAAGGAAAGAAACAAATCTGGAAAGAATCCTTCCCCAGGGCTACACTGTGCTCCCCGACAGTGTTAATTTGGGGACTCTGGTGGCACTGCCTTTGCCTGTGGGCAGCCAGGTCCTTTGAACTTGTAAGGACGGGATACCCATGAGCTTTCACATCCAGGAGGGAATCCCAGAGGTGCACGGGAAGGAGCTAACAGCCTCGGACATCACAAGGAAAGAGAAGCTGCTCAGAGACAGCCTCAGCAATCTCTCCATCTTCGATAGAAGGTGCTTTTCTGTGCAAGCGACAGAAATCAACAGACCATAAAAGGGGAAAGGCAGCCCAGAACTGTTCTGAGCAGAAAGAACACGTGAGCGGAGGTCGGCTCCTCAGACCACATCCATGGGAGGAAGCCGTCAGAACCACCAGACCCCTCCCCCACACTCCACACCAGCCTCCTCTTATCCCAACTCAGGGCCGTCCTGCCAAGCACCAGCGGTCTCTGGAAACGGGCCGCTCCCGGGCCACCGCGGGGGAGGGACAGAGACCAGGAAGCTGCTGCCCGCGGCCCTGGGCCTCAGGGAAAGCCTCCCTCTCACACGCACGGCGAGTGGGCCGTGGACAGTACCAGAGGCTCTGCCAGCTTCACAATGTGCCAGCTCAGATTCGAGTGCCCTGCTCACACCGTACCTTTGACAATTGCTTTTTCTCATTCTAAAACTTGGGGGTAAATTCATTTTAGCCTGGATTTTGAGAATGGAGGTTTTAAAAATACATATATTTTATTGATTTTACACAGAGAGGAATTGAGAGGGAGAGTTAGAAACATCGATGAGAGCCAAAACGGGTTTGACTCAGTGGATAGAACGTCGGCCTGCGGACTGAAAGGTCCCAGGTTTGATTCCGGTCAAGGTCATGTACCTTGGTTGCGGGCACATCCCCAGTAGGGGCTGTGTAAGAGGCAGCTGATGGATGATTCTCTCTCATCTATGTTTTTAACTCTCTATCCCTCTCTCTTCCTCTCTGTAAAAAATCAATAAAATATATTTAAAAAAAAAAAAGAAACATCGACCAGCTGCCTGTTGTACACTCCCCACTGGGGATGTGCCCGAAACCAAGGTACGTGCAAAGGTAGGTGCCCTTGACCGGAATCAAACCTGGGACCTTTCAGTCCACAGGCTGACGCTCTATCCACTGACCCATACCAGTTTCGGCGAGAATGGAGGTTTTAGCCTCTTGTCGTTCCTTCCTGTGCTCACCCTCCGTCCTGTATGCACATAGAGAAATAACTCAGCATTAATCAGACCCCCGATGAGCAGGCGGGGGTGGGATGGCCCTCTGTCCCTCCACTCCCCCACCAAGGGAAAGAAGTTCCAGAGTCCACACACAGAAAGAGCTGCTGTACATCCATGTGGAGTCAGCATTAGAAACAGCGTACTGACACGATGACCAGGAGACCTGGTCTTCTGGCCCGAGGGCTGCGGGGCGCCCAGCCTCCCTGCTCCCCGAGAGGCCAACAGCAGGCCCTTCCTCACCGCAGAGCTGAGGGCCCGTCTGTCTCCACGGCGGGACGCTCAGACATCACAGGGCCCAGCGGACCCTGCTGCTCCGGCAGGAGCTGACTTCTCTCCCTATTTCCCTGAGAAACAAAGAAAGTCCTCATTTTTACCACTTAACCTGTTCTTACCGCCTTTAAAATCTCCTTAGCCTCTTGACGCCACATGGAATCGGGCTTCCCGAGAATCTGGCAGCAGAGTGGCTTTTGTCTCCTTTTCTCCCAGAATGTGTGACAGTGGGCACTGAGGGGACAGCCTTCCTAGGTCGCTGGGAAACTAAAATCCGAGAGGCCGTCACACACTGTCAAGGTCCTTGCCCTGTTGGCCAGGGGAAGGTGAAGGCCAGTGAGGGGAGCCTCAAACAGAGAACTGAGCAGCAGCCTCGGAGGACGGCTGTCCGCCCCGCACATCTGCTCTTCTTTGTTTTCCAGTAAGTTCCAGTGAGGTGGCACCGTTTCTCACTTCCCCGGGACGATTAAAGACGGCCACCGCGCACAGCTCCACCAGCCCTGGAACACGAGGTGCGGCGGCTCCCAAGCTCCAGTCCGTCCAGTCAGTCTCAAGAACGCCCTGTGCACACTCACTCTGTCCAAACGGATCGAATCCCACTGGACACATTCATGATTTATTCTGCTTCTGTCCCAACAGGCCACCAGGGGGGAGGGCCGAGGGCTCTGGGCCCTCAGGACTTTCTCAGCTACAACTCAAACCCAGCAGGTCACTCTCACTCATGCTCGAGATCTCCAAAAGCCTGCAGCAGCCAAGGTCTGAGCTGACACCATCCACACAGGCAGGCTGGACAGAAGTAGGGCAAGGATGAGGAGGGCCAAGAGGCAGGCAGGGATGCAGGTGTGGGGCACAAAGGGCAGAGGAGCAGAGGGGATGGTGCAGAAGGGAGAGGCCGGGGTGGCGCTGCCTCCCAGGGCACTCGGAGCCTGGCTTTCCAAGGCTGTACTCATCCGTCCCTCACTGAGCCTTCAGGGCAGACAGCAGCTGGCCCTGGCCCATCTCCCGCCATCCAGCACCAGGACCAAAGTGCCCCCAGCACACACCGCCATGCTGAAGGTTCTGGAACCTCTCAAAACTATTAGCATAGTGCCTGGCACACAAGTGAGGGATGATTAAGGAAGGGGGTGTACCTGGGGTGGGACTGGGGGCAGGCTAGGTCAATGGAAGAAAAAGAGGGACATATGTAATCAACAACTGAGATTTAAAGGGGTGGGGGTGTAGGCCCCGTTTCTTCCCATGAAGTCCCAATGAAGTCGTGATATACAGATGTGCATACACAGGAGTACACACGTAAATACTAATAAAAATCAGCTTGCAAATCTGCTTTTCAACGTGTCCTGTTGAGGGACACTGAAGCCATGCACAGTCGGGCTGTGACACAGCGGCACTCGCACGCCCTGCAAATGGACTCCACGCGTCTCCAGTGTTCTGAAGCCTCCGAGCAAAAGGGGACGAGCACCCAGCAAGCAAGTGGTGCAGAAGGGAGAGTCTCAGAACTGGGTGGGAGGATGAAGGATGTTTGCAGAAGCCGATTCATGCCAGACCCACGTTTGATAGCAGAGTGAGAACCTTCAGTGATCCCTGAACTGCAGCTGGACCGTGTTCCCCTGCCCCACAGCAGGGACCCCGCCAGGACAGACTGCGGTAACAGGCCTCAGTCAGCTGGGAGGCCTGGGTATCCAAGAGGAATTCTGCAGGAAACATACACATAAGCTTCTAACTACAAGGCTGGTGGCTCATTCGCTCCAAATACATTCACAGCAGCCAGCACTTATGTATACACGTATGCATACAGTAGGTACACATGCACACACTCTCCATTTTCTGTTCCTTATGCTGGCTGGTGACCTACTAAACTGACCTCCGGACCCACTGTGTCCAGGAAGCGGTGTCGGGGTCTAACGCAGCAGCCCTGGCCGCTGGCTGGTTGCTCTCTCTAGGCCCGCCCGGCCTGGCCTTGTAGCGGGGCTGCTGTGAGAACTGACTGGTTGCCGAGCAAGTGCTAGACTAG